ACGTTTTATTTGTATGCCGGGGGGCACAAAGGTTTTGATCACTGTGATTGCGTTCGGAAGTGACCGATTGGGTCTTATTTATCTGGATAAAGGGAAATATTCTGAATATATTTTATCGTCACGAAGGACTCGAATATATTGGGGTTTAGAATGTGAACGCATTTTTCTTGGACAGCTGGTAATATTTAAATCCTGATTTTGTCAAATCTCTATTCCTCCGACGTGTGGATTTTTTTATCCTGAAAAATATCCGGAGAATTAGTGTTTTATCCTGCGACGCATGATGCGACACTGATGTGGGAATAAGACCTTCATTTTTTAAGAAATTATGAATCGAAAATGTAGGGAATTCCAGATTTCATCGGTTATAAAACTTGATCGAATTAGTGGAGAAAAAACTGTCAATTATTGTTTTCACGATTTTGGTTTATTTGGGCTGAATAAACACTACTGGAATAGTATAAATAATTTTGTTTTAGTATATATGAATGTTACGCTGCTAGAAATTCGACGAAATTAAAAAATTTTGAACAGCAGGAAGACGATAAATTCTGAAATTACTTCAATTGTCAAGGAAAACATGAGCTTTGAACACCAAATCACGCAGAATTTTTAATTGATTCGGAATTCAGGAGTATTTTTACTAAAATCCTACTGATTTCAATCACTTTTCGTGAAATAATTCGATTGAAATTGGCAGTTCCCATTGATTTTCGCATAAAATTTTCAATTTTCAATCACGAAATTCCTTGGAATTTCCAAAAATTCTCAACTGTGTTACTTAAATCGAGTGAAGTTTTTCTGGAAATGAATGAATTATTCATTTGATAAAACTGAAATATTTACAATATGCGAAAGCGTAAGGAATTTATCGTGGAAAGTAGAGAAATAATATTGATTACGCGCCCAAATTGTTTTCTCTCGATTCCCCCCAATCTTCGATATCGTGACTGATGCCCCGCAGTTCATACCTGTCCACTAAATTCCCCGGACCGCCATATGAATTTTTCATACCAAAAATTCTCCGCTCCGATGTGCGAAAACAAAGGAAAAAGAACGCAACGCAAACGATTGCAGTAGAATAAAAATAATGGGAAGAGCTGTTCATAAATATTTATCGCTGCGTGTAGTTACAACGAGCGTTGAAAATTCTGTTGGTCGATGCTTTCATCATCCATTAAATCTGTTCACACTTGCCATATCGGTCATTTTTCGAAGCGTGCAGTTTTCATAAACGAATACGGATAGAAAAGTTGGATAAAAATTATCTAGAAAATCGCTGCAAATTGTGATATACGACAGGTCGTAGTGGACTTTTTGGGCTTCATTGTCGCCACATTGTATGTTCAACCTGTCAAGTGGACAACTCAGTTGAAAAGCAAAATACAATTGACTAAATAAATCATTCATGTTACAAAGTATTTTTCTCATCAAATTAGAAGTGTTATGGCGTACTTTTCCGGTCTCAAAAACAATAATTAAAGAAAATGTTCATAGATGATGGAGGACTTGTAACTGCAGTGGTAACAGTCGAATTTTGATTGGGCAACATCGCACGCTTCGGCTAGTAGTGGGGTTGTAACAGTGAGATGAATGTTTGTGTGTGTTATACGTGTCCATATGCTTCCAGCACTGAATTATCGTCACCGACTTTACCGACCTCGATCAGCTGTTGTGCGGTGTTGTCGCGTTGCTCGACTCGTAATGGCGGTCAAATTTTTTTTAGAGGAATTCGAAAATCAATCGAAGATATCACGCCTATATGGCCCGGTCCCCTACTTGTTCTCGCCGGCGATAGATTCTCCATAGTCTAAAGTAAATGGCTTGTGGTTTTTTTTCAATATCTTGAGTGTCTAACCCATGCAACATCTCGATCAAAGTTCACACGGTCACGTTTCTTCCCTAAGCGTAATGTTACAAGAAGTGATTTTCAGACATTAATTTCTCACTACGATGCCCCGACGGAAGGATTAATATTATTACTAACGTGTGGCTCAAATGTGAACCTGGCATATGAGACAATATCAAAATTATGGTGAATAATGTTCCGAAACGCGTTCGGTAAAAAATCATTCTACGTTACAGAAGAATTAAGCGCAATATTGAGCAATCAGTCACGTTCACTGGGATAATTTTTGATGGAATGCATGGTAAATTGGACAGTTTCAGCCCAAGTTACCCGCCTGTTCAGTAAATTTTCCCGGGTTAACGGAGGACAATTCCCTATTCGTCTCGCACTTTTTCCCCGATATAGCGTGAAAAAGTAGTGAAAATCGAGTTTGCTCCACTATTACTTGTCTCGTTCCACAATTTTTCTTCAACTTTTTTCTCCCTGTACGTATCCCTGACATAAAATGGAAAGATAGCATGGCTGAACTAAAATGATAGCCGAAAGTCGTGCGGTCAGTTGATTGCAAAGTTTCAGTATCGATCGATGGTTAACGACGAAGAAGTAATTGCGGAAAAAAAGGGGACAAGTCCAGACAAAGAGGGGAAAAAGGGAGCTAAATACAGACGTGGAGTCTACCGCGTTAGCGAATAGCTGAGACGCTGGGAAAATTCTCTAATCCCTGATTGGATTCGGAAGAATTGAAACTCGAAGCGATGTGGACTAGAGGAATAGTTTTGACATAACAATGACGTGTGATTGGGTGTGAACGCGGAATTATGAATGATCGGCCGGTATTATTTATTTATTCGATTAATTACATGATTGATTGGTCATTGTTTGCTAATGAGATGACTCTAGTGATGTCCCATCCATCATGTCATTCATAAATATAGGAACCTTTCCATATTGCCTTGTATTATAAGTGAATGAATACATAAACTTCGGCTGAAACTTCGGTACATTTCTTAGGAATTTTTATCGCTCCATAATTTCACTGAAATTTTCATGAAACTTTGGACACATACAAAAGATGTAATTGTTATTGTCAGCTGATAAAAATGTTCAAATGTTCACGCACCTTCAGAAGAAGACGGAAATGAATTTTTAAAAAAAGTTGATAAAAAGGATTTAAAAAGGATTTTTTCAGTCCTTTGATGAGACGAAAGTTTATGATCGCACTCCTTGATTATGTCATTATGTGTGACCTAAATCTTATATGACCGTCGTAAAAAAACTTTCATGAAAGTGTCAAATAAGGGATTTTGACCGTTTTGACCCCTGGACAGATGTTGGCTGTAACGAGGTTCATTTAAAATAGCGGTAAATGTCATAGAAATGTCACGCTATTCGAAATTTCATGATGGCTTCTCAATTTTATGACATTTATTGTGACATAGATTCTTTGTGACTGTCATATCCAATCTAAATAGCACAAATGATGTCATACTTATCGAATTATGACCAAAAATAATGTGACGTTACATGACGCTCATAAATCTGGAATATGACACAAAACTTCCTCGCTTTTAGTCGGCAAGTTGAACATTTTTTAAAGTGTACACACAAAAGTAATACCTTATTCTAAGATTTCAAAGGTCTTGACACACAATTTTCAAAAGTCTTCATTTAAAGCTTGAAATTCTCAAGTTGAGAGTTTCGAAAGTTTTATTTTGAGACTACTAAAAGTATGAACTTGAGACTTTTGAAATTCTCAACTTGAATCATTTGAAAATCTCAATTTGAGACTTTCAAAAGTCCGAATTTGAAATCATAAGTCTCAAATTAAAGCTGTTTTTTTAAATGGGTTCAAATAACACCGTAGGCTCAATTTATACTTATGAATGCCGAGTTACGGTATGGGAACTCAACTTGAAATTTTTCTTCAGGTACAATGCTAAAAGTCTCACCTTGAGACTTTCAAAAGTCTTGATTTGAGGCGCTGAAAAGTTTCAACTTGAGACTTTTAAAAGTCTCAACTTGAAACTGTTGAAACGGTCAACATCAGACGTTTGAAGGTCTCAATTTGAAAGATATGAAAATCTCAATTTAACATTTTCAAAAGTCTCAACTTGAGGTCATCACTCTCAAAATAACCCTTGTTTTTACGGGTGTAAATAATATCATAAACTCAAACGATAGTACTGAACTCCTCAAATTAAGACGTGACCGGGAATTGAACATGAAATTTTTCCTCAACTAAAATTCTGAAGTCTCACCTCGAGACTTTCACAAGTCTCGATTTGAACCTGTTAAAAGTCTTGATTTGAGACTTCGAAAAGTCTCACCTTCAGACTGTTAACTCTCATCTTAAGACTTTTGAAAGTCTCAATGTTTTGAATTGAGACTTTCAACTGTCAATTTGCAATTCTTTAGTCTCACCTCGAGACTGTCACAAGTCTCGATTTGAAGCTTTTAAAAGTCTTGATTTGAGACTTCGAAAAGTCTCAACTTCAAACTGTTAATCTCATCTCAAGACTTTTGAAAGTCTGAATTTGAAACATTGAGACTTTCAACGGTCAATTTGCAATTCTTTAGTCTCACCTTGAGACTGTCACAAGTCTCGATTTAAAGCTTTTAAAAGTCTTGATTTGAGACTTCGAAAAGTCTCAACTTCAAACTGTTAATCTCATCTCAAGACTTTTGAAAGTCTGAATTTGAAACATTGAGACTTTCAACAGTCAATTTGCAATTCTTTAGTCTCACCTCGAGCCTGTCACAAGTCTCGATTTGAAGCTTTTAAAAGTCTTGATTTGAGACTTCGAAAAGTCTCAACTTCAAACTGTTAATCTCATCTCAAGACTTTTGAAAGTCTGAATTTGAAATATTGAGACTTTCAACGGTCAATTTGCAATTCTGTAGTCTCACCTCGAGACTGTCACAAGTCTCGATTTGAAGCTTTTAAAAGTCTTGATTTGAGACTTCGAAAAGTCTCAACTTCAAACTGTTAATCTCATCTCAAGACTTTTGAAAGTCTGAATTTGACACATTGAGACTTCCAACTCTCAATTTGCAACCATAACTCTCAAAATCTTCTCAACCTTCTTTTTAAAAACCGTAAATACTACCCCCACAACGCAATAATCATCGTGAAATTCCAATAATGTTCCAGGGCTGGTAAGTGGCGGTGTGCACGAGAAGCGGCTGCTAAATGACCTTCTGGATAACTACAACGTACTGGAGCGTCCGGTGTTCAACGAGTCCGAACCCCTTGCGTTGAGCTTCGGCCTCACGCTAATGCAAATAATCGACGTTGTAAGTCAACCATCCACTATTAATGTATCTTTTAACCAGCATCTAATCCCATTTGCCCCTTTCATCTGCTACCCCACCCTCATTATTCCTCCCGCATAAGCCAATGTTTCCTCCGCGTCGGTAAATGTTTTTATGCTACAACTCCCATTAAGGGGAGACTACTATGAATTTTTAAAATCGTGGGTTATTGGAGTGAAACTTTTTATACGTTGAAGATCGATTATAGATCTGAAAGCGAATAATTAGGACAAAAAAATTTTTTTTTATCGTTTGTTTGCCCGAAAACGCTTAAAATGTTAAAAATAGTCCAGGGCCTCCAATTTTTGAGCTACAAAAGATTTTTATTCTTCAATTTTCGGAAAAATGTGTGGAACAACAATTACGAGCCAGTTTTTTTCGAATTCGACTCCTACACAGCTGATTTCGTTTTTTTTTCATATAAAAAAATTCACTATTTGTGTAAAAAAATACAAAAAAAGCAAATTTAGCCATGTAAGAGGAGAATTAAAGAAAAACTAGCTCGTAATTGTTATTCCACATATTTTTCCGAAAATTTTGAAAAAAGTATCCTTTGTAGGTCAAAAATTGGAGGCTCTGGACAGTTTTTGGCATTTTAAGCGTTTTCGGGCAAACGAACAATAAAACAATTTTTTTCCACCAATTATTCGTCTTTAGATCTATATAATCGATCTTCAACGTATGAAAAGTTTCACTCAATAACCCACGACTTTCAAAACTCAGTAGTCTTCTCTTGAACGACCCCACAAATACACGTAACACATGTTACGATAGAATGAAAAAACACGACCGGAGACGGACGAGAGAGGATAGTGAAGAGGATAGTTGGGAGACTGCTGGAGAATGCATGTAAAATCATGCACACGCTTCATCAACATACGCAATGAGTTTGAAAAAAGATAATGTTGCAGGAACGTGTCTCGCTCGCATTTTATAAACACCGAGTACACACGCAGGGATATATCGTCAACATGAGGTGTATAATGCGCCCCAGCGACGGGTATACTTACCCTCTCAGTGTTTATATCGCTGTCTCACTCGGTTTTTCTCACTCGTTATACTTTTACCCCGCATCCAGCACGTTGAAGTACGGAAAAGACGGATGAACGCGGCACATACACATGTTATTGAGTTGTGAAGAGAGGTGGGAATGGGAGGCAAGGGGAGACTCACGCACGATCGATCGTGTGTGCCGCTGTGTGCGGCGGAGAGTGACGTTAAAATGAACAAAGGCTGGACAATGTTGCACTAGTTGTAGATGTAAACGGGGGGCAGCAGCTATTGCCCTTTCGCATTCTTACGGTTTTGGAAAAAAAATGTAGGGATAGGGGAAAAAAATATCTCTAGGGTAGGGGAAAACGCGGAATAGTATAAACGGAGAGAAAAGTAGGGGAAGGTAAAACGGACACTTTTTACTTTTTTTTAAATGTTAATGAGGGGTTGAAATGTTGATAAAATTTAATAATTTAATAATTAATTTAATAATTTTTTTTTTCAACACAAAGAACGATTCTTTCCCTTTGTGACGAGCCTGAACTGAGCTCAATTGATCAGTTTGTTTCTGAGTTATGAATAATTTTTAAAAAGTCTAAAGTGTCCGTTTTACCCCACCCTCCGCTACGAGAAAAATTACCGTGCTCGCACAGTAAAGTGGGTTCAGATGGGCTTTCCAGGCAAAATGTACCGCAGGGAGTAGGAAAAAGTACTGTTGCTCGAGTCTTTTTTTCGGATAAATGCGAGGAAAAGTTGGTGTGCAGCACGGTAAATCGCAACAAATTTATTCATATTCAAAATTTTTACCAGAAATAAATTTTATTTATAAAAAAACAAGTTCTCTGAAAATTTCAATAATTTCAATGATTAATTTATAAACAACGAGCGTTTAAAAAAATTACAATTCGGTACAAAATGTAATTTGAATGACGCTGGTTATTCAGGATTTTTTTTCAAATTTTTATCACGCGATTTAATTGACCAATTTGATGATTGAAAATGGTTGAATCTATAGTGTGGTCTGTACCAAACTATAAAAAATACACAAAATATCAGTAATTTGTTTTTGTATTTGTATTTGGATATCCTTATTTTGTAATTTTGAATTTTATATTCTCCGTGAATGAACAAGTTGTCAAATAAGTTTTGTTTGCACGGAAAAAATTGAAATTTAAAAATTACAAAAAAAAAATTCTTTGATTTTCTATTTATGAGAGATGAAACTTTCGTGAAGTTGTTTTATATCGAAGTTTGCATGAAGTTGGCCGCCAAAAAAATACGCCGCATTTTCAAAGCCTCCAAACTCATGAATTATTCTTTGCGTGGTAATTGTCGAATCTCTAATGGTTATCAAGAGACAAATTGATTAGTTCTTCACACTGAAATACCTAAACATAAATCACGTTTCCCCAAGCGTAATTTACGGCTTGCTAAACGTAATTTACCCTTAACGCCAATATAATGTCTAGTGGCTTTTTTCCGTCATGAAAATCGGAATTAAGGCATTAAAGAGGCGTATTTTACGGTCAAAATAAAAACGTAAATTACAAAATAAAGCGTCTTTTACGTTTCACTAAGCGTATTTCACGTTTAAAAAATCGTAAATTACGATTTTAATAGAAAGGTATTTTACGATTTACTTATGCGTAATTTACGAACGAAAACATCGTATTTTACGCTTGAAATAACTTTTTTTTCTTCGTCGTTAATTGCGAATAAGTAAACTACAATACGAAAAAATCATCATTATTTTCGAATACGAAACCGTAAATTACGTTTATGTAATCGTAATTTACGGCAACTCTGCACGTAATTTACGCTTTGACTTCAAGAGTAAAATACAATTCAGAAAACGTAAAAGACGACTTTTTAAACGTAATTTACGTTTAGGTTTTTTTGGGCTCCTTGGATTTTCATTTATCATGCACTTTCATAATCACATTCATGATTCACATTCTGTTCCATTTTTTTACTTAGATATAGGTTTTATATTTTTAAAAACCAGGAAAATTCGCCAGTTTCTGAAAAAATTCTGAGAAAACGTGCGCTTTTCTTTTCATTCGAGAAAAACTTCAAAATTTTTTGAATAAATCAAAAAAGTGTTCACTTTATTGAAAATTTATTCATAACACTTCCCTCACTTTGAAAACCGAAAGACAATTGATCCAACATTCATAATTATTCATTAATTCTTCACTTAGTATTCACCTTCATCATTGATTGATTTTTGTTCTAATGCATAATTCATTTTTATAATGCATTTATGAGTGTATAAAATAATAACGGCGGTTGTGACTCGTATATCGAATATGAAATGTTAAAAAGAATTGATAGTGTAATAATCTAAAATAAGAGTTGCAGCACTTGACGTGATAATAAAAAAATCGTAAATGAGGAGATAGATCATTTGAATCATCAAACGAATTGAACGATTGGAAGTTATTTCTATTGACTTGCATAGCAACCTTGACTGAAAATTTTCTGCAAAAATAAATGAAGTTCTGGCATGAACATGACTTTAATCCGAACAAACGTGGAATCCTGCATTTCTCTCAGTCGGAATTGAGATGGAGAGAATAATCTAACCGGATGCCCCTTATGCTCCAAACTTTCAGAAAATTTTTCTCAAGTTTTCATGTATATCAACGATCGGGCTGATTTCTGCAATAAAATCTGCAAAACTTCTCTGTCCCCTCACTCTCTAGTAAAAACATAACAATCATGAGTTTAAAAAGAATTGAAGAGTCCGAAACTCGGAATTATGTACGACAAATCTATTTAAATTTTTTTCGTTCTTAGGGAGTGTGCAAATACTCCAGGACATCAATAAAAATCATTTCTCTCTCTCGCTCGTTGCTACAGCAATAAAATTATCGCAAAATTTTCCTCATTTTTTGAGCACTCGGGACATTGGGGGGAAAATTCAACGGAATACGAAATGTTTTAAATAGCGAAAAACAATTGCGTTGAATTTCCCGGATTTGTATTGATTTCGCATGGAATAATTGAATAAAAATTCCGTTTTCATTGATTTTCTCCCCAAAATTTTGAATTTTCAGTGGAACTGTAATTTCTTTTTTATTTTTACCCTGAAATTCAGGAACAATGGCATGTTGAATAATAAAATTTGATCCATAAAGATCTAATTGTATCCTCAGTTGTGCTGTCCTGTAACAATTTTTGTACGGCACATGATAAATTTTCCCCTTCCGGTACACTAATTTTTATCACGATATGAATAAAAATTGTAGATATTGTTAGTAAATTTTATCCTGACGATTTATATGAAAATTAATGTACCGTATTGTAGAAATTGCTGTACCGACGGAGTGAAATTTACTATGCGTCATACAAAAATTATGACACCACAATAATTTTTATTATCATCAGGAAGAGATCTCTCTCGTGGAGAATAAAATGTGATCGTCATATATCAAATTTTATTGTCCAACATTCAGTTTTTGCCGAATTTCAGGACAGAAATGAAAAAAAAAACTTGTAATTTTTTTTTACCAAAGTTTTCTTTTTTTTTTTTTAACAAGTGGGAAATTGCTTTATTCACAAAATAGCCGAAGGTGAGTTCTGCCTTCCTAAGAGTAAAAGAACACTTTCCCCACGAGTGTCTAACCCTATCCTTCGCGGCGCGTGCGTAAAATTCCACTTTACGCATCAATGATAAATAGTATATTATGATACGAGTGCGCAAAAGTGTTTTTTGACCCGTGCAAGGTGTATGGCGCTCGCCGAAGGCGAGTGCTGCCTTCCGAATGGTCAAAGAACACTCTTCTCACGAGTGTCAAACCGCATTTTCCATCACAATGTGTGGAGAGTAGGAGTTAGTGCCAGCGGAGCCTCCGTAAAATTTTACTTTATGCATAAGTGATAAAAAAAATGTTTTTTGACCCGTGAGAGGTGTGTTGCGTTCGCCAACGGCGAGTGCTGCCCTCCCAAGGGTCAAAGAACACTTTTCCCACGAGTGTCGAGCCCTA